AAACATCCTCTAAATCTTTGGGAAATATTTGATTCACTTTATAATTTGGCTCAAACCTGAAATTTTCCCTATTTTCTTCTGAACACTGTTTATATTTGTCCACATATCTTTTTAAGGTCATATGTACAAAATTTTCAGATGCAGCAACTGACCTGATCGATTTTCCATTATTAATACCTTCTAGCACTGCACGCTTCATTGTTTCTCCATCAAATATAGCAATTTTTTTTCTTCCTTTCGGTTTCGCACCATTTTGAAAATTTTCTGAAAATATTAAATAATAAATAATAAAGAAATGTTTTAGAAACAAGCAAGTCATCATCATTCTCGCAATTTAAATGTTTTTTAAAATAATGGGGTACAGTGTTACACTGTCACACTGTGCCCCACTGCTGGCTGTAACACTGCGCCCCATACATCTATTTCACAAAGAAATTGGTCTCACATCAAAATCAATTTTTTTTAGGTTAAATTTGGCACTTTATTAGAGCTATATCATCCTACATTAAAATTATGTCTAACCAAATAAATTCTGATATGAACCAGTTTTGAGTAGAAACAAAAATTAGTAACTGTCCTTATTTTACATTAGGGTTATAAAAATGAATACTTACCGATGAAACAATCAAAACACTTCCGAAGTTGATGCAAACACATCGGGGCATCGAACGTAACTGAAACTAGCTTTGACTTGAATGGCACCGGCGTTATTCGAGTAATGACGTCACGGCATTAAGTTTAACACTGTACCCCGTGTAACACTGTACCCCCTCTTCCCCTATGCCTACTTACGCAACTCATTAAATCGTTGGAGAAAAAAATGACCCAGTGAAATTGGTGGAGGAGGAGGTGTGAAATACTTGAAAATAAACCAAAAATCAGCCATAAGAAAATAAGTGCATGCCCACTCGCGTACTACTTTAAAACGTCGGAAAAAAAATGGCCCAGCGAAATTGGTGGAGGGTTTAATATTTCTTGTAGGTGAACTCTTGTCGTCGAACGAGCTTAATGAGAATGTTAAGAAAATAATTCAGTTTTCATTAACTAACTTAGTGACCCGGTTTGAACCTCGCGCTTTCGTAAAATAGCTAGACACATCTTACTACACTTTAATAATAAATTCAGCTATAAGAAAAGAAATCACTCGCATGATAACTCAGCAGCCCGGCGAAAACTGACTTGGTTTTTTTAAACAAGTGTAAATTAAAAATTTAAAAAAACCGACTTCAAAAACGTGCAGATGCCATCACAACATCTTAACCAAATTTATATGGGATCACCCCTGAGGTACCCCCTTTCTAACAAAAAAAGAATCATATAAATCGGACAAGGTAGTAAAGCATTATCGCTAAACATACATAAAAAATGAAGAGTTTGAGGATTTTCTCATGGACCCAATTTTTAGATTTTGACCAAATTTATATGGGACCACTCCTGAAGTAGCCCCTATCTAACAAAAAAAGAATTATTGAAATCGGACACCGTGTTACAGAATTATCGCTGAACATACATAAAAAAAAAAAAAATATCGCGACGAATTGATGATAACCTCCTCCTTTTTTGAAGTCGGTTAATAAATGTAAATCGGGACCAAAAGTCAAAAATGGTTTAATTGCTCTCAAAATGTTTCTAAGACTCTCAAATAAGAGTACTGCTCTTAAAGGCATTTTTTGTTCAATATTTCTACTCCACTCAGCTTTTCAATCGCCCCGGATTTTCTAGAAAAAATTGTCAAAATAATCTAATTTATGGCGAATGGGCTAAAACTATCAAATAAAAAATGATTGCAAGGGCAATACTCTTACTTGTGAGTCATAAAAACATTTTGAGAACAAATAAACCACTTTTGGACTTTTGATTCCAATTGTACATCGATTTCAGAAAACACTTTTCACCAGGTGCAATTTTTTTTGCCTGTCGGCTTTTTTGCTGACACAAAAAAAAAGCTTGTAACACCATTTTAGAATCAAAAATATACGCTTTTAAGTTATAGCCTGAATTTCGTTAAAAAAAACACACAAATATTCGGTCACGTGGCCGAACTCCCTACCGGAAGTAACAAAACCGGACGACAGAAAATGCTTGATGCATATTATTTCATAATCAACATAAAACGAAAAATCCATCGCTTAAATTTGACCGGTTTCACAACTCCCACCATCAGGACATAGTACCTGTTTTTCACCCTCCCCCTATTCCTAACTACAAATAGCCAGCAAAAAAACACCACATGGCACTTTTTTTCAGTCAGATGAGGGACTAGATGATTCTTAATAATATGAAATCATTTTAGTTTATTAGATTTTTGTTATAGACATTTTTCTGAAGAAGCTCGTGTCCAGTTAATTTTATGGTTTAGTATATTTTAAAGTTCTCAACTTCACCGCTAGAGGAGATAATTTTATGGTTGATAATAAAAATTCCAAATTATGTTATTTCGAAAATTGACTTTATTTTGATTAACAACTGGTTTATCAGTTTATCATTGGTCACAAGTAGTACGCCCTCTAGTGGTGAAGTTAAAAGCTTGAAAACAATTTATTGCGATTTCTCTTGATCACTTTTATCATCATTTAACACATTGCGTGCCACATCGGGCATATCTGCCCGACATTGATGTTTCTGGCATATATGTTTGTCGCACAGTTTAGTGTACTAGACCGTGTCAATCATACCTGTTCGATGATAAGAGATTTTAAAGAGTGGCCTGTACGGAACATATCGGTATAGTTGGTTTGGGCAAATTTGACTATTTACTGTTTTTTTCTTTTTATTTTGAGGGTTTTAAATCAGTCATTGTATTAAACCTAATTTCTCAAAAGAAGACAATGTTAATCTTGTGAATATTACTAATAATATTGGCTCTAAGATCACCGTCTTCTTATAGATTTAAGGTATAATAATTTTAATATTATGCAAAAAATATTTATTTCTTAGTTACAAGGAAAAAAAATACAAAATCCTAAAAAGTAAACTAAAACATTCATATGCAAATCTACTTAAGTAGATACGTAAAAACAACGCGTCAGGCAAAAAAAATACTAAAAACAACCAAACCTAACATTTTAGCCACTTTTAACATAAATTAAAAAAAAACGCGTGGCCGCGTGCAATACTTTTCCAATATCGTGGCACGCAAGACGATTAGTTTCTAAGTACTTTACAGCCACTGACAGTCGGTGTTCATTCTTAATCAAAAAGCCAGTACAGGGTGTTTGACATATATTTTTTATACGTCGCTGGTACGTACCGTGAATTTAATTGGGGCATGGCAACAGTAGTTATCATCCTGTACTTTATTTGTTATGGTTGTTTGACATTTTAATATCGTTGTGATAATATATATTTACAGGTTTCTTATTTTAAATGTTTTCTTGATATTTATTTGCAGGTTAATACAAGTAAAATTACTGTTTCTATGAAACACAAGTTTTTCAAATTTCATTTAGTAGATTGAATAAATACATAGTTCTTAAGTTACTTAATTTATAGATTTTATGATTTTGTTGATTTTAATTCTTGGTTTGATAAAAATTAGATTTTAAATAACATGCAATTATTTTCGTACACTTTAATCTTTTTTTTACAAATAGCTATTATTCTTTAAACCGAGGTGTTAATAGAATTAGGATTATGCCTGTAAATGTCACTCTTTTCACGCCACCACTGTTATCAAACAGCTCTATGTGCCCTTTTACCTTTGTGCTGAAAGGAATCAATAGTCGAGATAATACCAACTGTAATGACTATAGACCTGAAGAGGTCATTCTCTGTGATTCCTCTATTTATATCATCACTTTCCATTTACGATGAGATTTACAGCTTTGTTAGTACAGTTTATTAGCCAATCTCTTCCGTCTTTATGAAGTAATTTGTAAATATATATGTAGTTAATAGTTTTTCATGTTTGTTCATTCGTGTGGGCGGCATGCAAGTTATGTACATGTGGGCGAATAAAAGTTTCTTCTGATATTTTACCGATCATAGATGAAAAAAAGAAATAGTTTCTGAAGTTTATATCAACAGACTTGTAGAATCTTTAGATGAAAATATAAATAATAAGAGTAGAGGAAATAAGCGATGTAGTACCTATTGAGTTAACAAAATTAAAACTTTAACTTTCTCTTATCAAACCACAGTTTAATCATCAAGTTTTTAAATGATTCGTATCTTTTATATGATATAATGACTTTTAATTTATTTGACGCAGAATTCAAAAACACATACAAGTGAACACCTATAATATACATTTATTTTATTTATATTTCGTCACTATATATAACCTAATGTACGAGGGTTGCCTTTTATATTTCGGGATTAGAGAACAAAAACAAATATTAATCATTGAAAATCCCTTTATTGTTTTTCAAAATATTCTCCATAAAGATCTATAGACTTCTACATGCGTTTGAACCAATTGTCGAAGCACGTTTGTCACTCTTATTGGGGTAATTTTTGATTTTGTCAAAAATAAACGTACTTTTGAAAAATTTGATATCTGATGACTATATTTTAAGTTTTGGATCATGCAGGACTTTTTATCTAGAATAACTCTTTTTCCTAAAATCAATAATACATTTTTTTTCCATATGGTTCCAACTTAAGTAGACACACTGTATATGGCTAAAACAGTCTGATTTATATACAAATGTGGTCATCGCCAATGTTCTACAACATACTAGTCAACAATCTCGCAACCGCCAGCATATTATGAATCCCACCATTTTCTAGAATACATCACCAAAATCGATGACTCTAGGAGTTTAACCATGGCTTAAATGCTTTTTAGAAAGAATGATTTAGTTCGACTGATGACATTCATAGGCGTCCCAATAGTAGGTGTTTGACTGCTTTTATCGAATATTCTTGGAAATCGAAAAGGGCAGGCAGTAAGAGGTCCAAATAGGGCAGAATAGATTAGAGCACAATAGTATATTTTTTATTTATCATAAATCAGATTAGAAATTTTTATTCGAATGTAAGTATTAAAAAACTATACACGACACACATATTTCATAATTTTTTTATATATCAAACAATAAAACAACTTATTTTTAACATTACAATTAGATAGGCCATAAAAACAGTAAATAAATTAAAAATTTATTTAGGAAAAGAGATTTAGAAATATTTTCTGTTTTATTTTGGATTTTGGTCTTCTTTAGTCCTTTCTAAAGCTTTCCACCCAATTTTGAATAAAGGTATTCTAGCAATATAATCATTAAAAGGCGTTCCTAGGTAAAGCATATTCTCAAAAATATACGCTTCGGAAAGCAGACTGATGTGTTTATTGAGATTATGTAAACTGTCCAAAATTTCACCATCTTTGGATATATGTAGAACACTTGCTCTTGATGGAGCAAGAAAATAAATAGAATTACAGTGTCCAATCTGAAAATAGAAAAAAAGTACATTATTTTTATAAAGTAATTAAATTATGCAAAAAGTCATAAAGATAACTTATCAATTTATAAAGTGTCAAGGCAATGTCAAGAACTAAAACTATATATTTAAATTTCCCATCAAAAGATTTTTTATAAATGTGTAGGGCAAGCCGGGGTATAACGGCTACCGGGTCGTAATGAGCATTAGCCCTACTTCCCTTGATAAAAAAGTCCGACAATAACGTCCTGTGCCAGTTTACAAAGACCCTTTCACCTCACATGCAGCGGTACCATCTTGTCAAAGCATGTTCATGACCGTCAGCGATATTTATTTGTTTTAAGCATAAGTGAAGTAAAAAATTTGTTATTTTCTTCCACAAATAACTTAAAGTGCTTGCAAAATTGTGCAATACTTGTTTTACTTTGGTAAAACATAGTTTAGCATAGCTATTTTAGTAAGGTATTGCAAATAATTAATCATGTTGTTCGGGGCATAATGAGCGGGGCAAAATGAGCTGCTCGTTTTGCCCCAGCACCGATTACAGCTCTTGGAAGTGTTTAATGAAACATCTTAGTGTCTACTATTCTAATAAAGTCAAAAATTAGTTACGTACGAATCCCGGGCTAGTTGTCTCACATGATTATGGGTATTCCAAAAGCCCCCATTAAATAACGAATTACTAGAAAACGAGGAACAAGGCGTATATTAACTGATTCCCCATACAAAATCGAACTAGAAGAATCTGCTATAGTCAAAAAGTCTCAAACGGAAAGAGCGAAGAATAAAAAGAGGAAAGTTTTCGACTATACACAGAGTTTTAAAATTAAAAAATATTATGTAGCACCATCAATATAACAGACAGAATCAAACCTCAAGATAAATAGCCAAGAACAAAGGAAAAGAATAGCGATTCTGAAGAGGATGTCGAAGATGATCTTCAATGTTTCTATTGTATATATTTCTACTTGGATTCCGATAAAGATTGGGTGGCGTGTCGTCAATGCTAGAGAGGGACCCATTGTTCATGCGCCAGAGAAGACGATGACGATGATGTGTGTTCCAATATTTGTGATTTAAGCAAATAAATACAAACAAACTCTCCTGTGCGGCCATTTTGCCCCCATCCCGGGGCAAAACGAGCAAATATATGACATTATTTTTTTTAAATTATGGTTAAGTTAACCTTTGCGATAATTATTATAATATTATATATTTATATTTTTATATTATATATTTTTTATTAATTAGCATGTAAGCAATGTAACTCGATTTGTTATTTTTAGTAAAATTTATTTAAACAAGAATTATGATTTGTTGTCATTAACGTGTCCGTTACGCCCCGGCTTCCCCTGTGCTATACGATGAAGATATCATGAAAATACTATCAAGGGTAACATAATAGGTTTAGGAGTTTTATGATAAGGAATATCAGGTTCAAATATTGAAACTTGATAAATGTGATGACAACCATATCACAATAATTATTACTGACAGATAATGGTTTGCATCGGAAGAAGTTTGTTTAGGAATCATGGTAATTCATGTAGCACAGCACACCGTGCAACACAGCTTTATTGTCACTTATTAATAATAAAATTCAGTCAACTTGAATGGTCGAAAGCAGCATCAAGATAGGAATTATATTCTCAGCATATCACTGGCTCCAAAAATCGTGATGAATATTCCAGATTAGTTTTTAAATCCTTTCTATTCTTCACCTTGGTTCTCAAGTTCCCTAAGTTAATATATTTTAAGTTTTCCTGAACCTAATCCTTGAATCGGATTCAGAGTCTGTCTTTTATTTTATTGGGGTATTTGTAGGCATATTTGATTTTTTTTCATCAATGGTAAGCACCTTACGTCACAATCCGTCCTATTCATATACAAGGTGTCCAGAAACGCTCTTCAAAGAATGAAACCACGAAATCTAGATCTGATTTTATGACGATATTATCTTAATCCAAAAATGCTTCCTAAGGGAGTTAGAGCTCTTTAAAGATAGCGCTCTAAAATCGGTTTAATTGAAACGGATTTTTATTAAATGATATTATTCTGTACATTTATTTATTTGAATCTAACCAATCAAATATTGCAAATAAGATTTTTTTAATGTAGTCATAAGCGACTCGTTTGGGTGGGGTACAGGATATTTTTATTATTTTTTTTGTCTTTCGAAAAGTTGCCATTTTAAAATAAAATATAAAATATTTCGTAATTTTCACACACAAATGGTGCTTTATCTGAAGACTAACGTTTTTCGAGAAAATCGACTTAAACTTTTCATGTCTTTACATACGTTTTCATTGATTAACAAATAAATTTTAAAATTATTATGAAAATAAATAAAATACCTAAGAATGATATAAATACATAAAATTGTTTTTACCCAAACTATAGGTAGGTACTCAAAAATTTTTTTTCACTTAATGACTGTGCTTTCCTGAAGAAATATAAATTCATGTAAAAATTAAAGTTTCTGTTGATACAATTTGTTTTAGAAAAAATAATAACGAAATGATAACTGAAAGTATTAAACACAAAATTAAATCTAAAGCTAATGCTTCACATGACAGCCATCCGTTTCTATGCACAAATTTATTCGTTTCCCTAAAGATCAAATTATTTAAAAATGTATGCTTCTTTTGATATTTATTGCAAATAATTTGTAATGTATTTCAATTTTCAATTCAGGCTTTCCATAAATAAAGGCACAGCAAGACATAATATAATGTTCTTATACAAAGCACTTTTTTATTATATAAAAGAGAGGTATGATATAATGCTGGTTTTTTGTAGATAATTTAAATTATACGATTTTGGATTACATAAAGCGGTTGAAGTGCAATATCATATAGTCCACATTATACCATATCGCAAAATAGATTCAACCAGCAAATTGTTAATAATAATTAGTAAACTGCTAGTCATACATTTCCTCAATTCATAAAATTTTAAAATGAATCTTCTTGCCTTGCGATTTTAATGACGTAATATGAACAACCCATTTCAAATTTTGATCAATTATGATAACCAAGGTATTTTGTTGTGTTTTTCATTTTAATTATAAAGTTGTCATTTATTTGTTTATTGAAAGAATGCCTTTGTAAATTACATTGCTCTCTATGGATCTACTTTTACACAAAAATGTGTTGTGTGGCTATAAGTTGCTATAACCTATCATCGCAAAACTATTAATATTTTAAACATAATAAGTAGTATGAATATCATATATCCCCTGTAGTAGTGCATCTCATTTGTTAAAGAGATGGCACTAAGTTTGCAGCGCTAAGGGCGTCTGGCCGCTCAACTACCTCGATATGGCGGTAAATTCAAATATAATTTTAAGGCAAAATTTACATTTCCCGCCAAAATCGTAAATATCTAGGGCGAGGACCACAAAGCACGTATCTTCTAGAGACCCCACGCCAATGTTAAACTTTTAAACCAAATTAGCGTCACCTTGTGTTTGGAGCTGGAACTAAAATGACAATTGACAGATGGCGGTAAATTCAAATTGTAATTTTTAGGAGTAGGTAGTAGTTTTAAATTAAATTTTAAATGATTTCCACATAAATTATTTTATAAAATAAAGAATGGAACTAGTAAGTTCGAAACTTTTATTTTACAAAATAATTTAGGTCGATTATACCAAATTTGAGGAATTAATTTGTTATAAGCAGGGGTCTGATGTGGAGAGTTGGTTCTGCATATTATTATTAAATAAATATAAGATATATCAATAAATAATAAAATAGAACATTCTTAAAATATGTTTATTAATAACTTAAATAAATATTATTAGATAAAAATAAATACAAATAATAATACATATTTAACGAATACTTACTTGCAGCAAATAGGTATACAATCTCAAATCTTTAAAATACCTATCAATAATTTAAATGTGAAGTAGAGACTAGGATATTACATTTTATTAACACTAAAATAATAATATATTTTATAAATGTCTTTTAAACCGAGGACAAATGTAATATAGGTATTGTATTAAAAGGTGAATCCTTTTAACTATTCATTCAATGATAAATAGGTATTTTCCTTCCAAATACAGATGGTGGTATTACTCCACTGCTTTGTGTATTACTCTCTTATGTGAAAAATGATTTCGGAATCTAGTCCAGTGATAAATTGATTATCAATTAGTTGTTATACCCGTTTGTCTTTTTATGATGCAGATGCATGGTGAATCAATGAAGTTTTTCTCGAAGTTTTCAACGTAGCACCCACAGGTAGCACCAAAATTATTGCAAAACACAGTACGAAATAGAAAAGCAAAACATCACAATTTTGCAAATAACTATAAGACGAAACTATAAACAGAAACCAAAAGCTAAAGCCAACAAAAAATCACTAAAATCAGACGGAAAAATGAGATTAACCAAAAACATAAATAAATACACCTAACATCTTTGGAGTTTTTCTCCCATAAAGCTTAAAAATGGAGTAAGAAAAAGAAATTTACCAGTAGCCCCATCTAGAGTTTGGAGCAAATAGCATACAAAATGTCAGTTGTCGGTTTTGACCTTGGTCATTCACGTGGAACCTCTATGTGCTTTGTGGCGAGGACCCTTGGATGGCAGCTATAGCAATCCCTCCTTGAATCCTCTTTTTTTGAGTTTTCTGTACGTTTTACTTTCCATATTAAATAAGTAAGCACTTAATACAACACAATAAATATCGCTGAAACAAAATTAATAGTAATAAACGGTATAAATTATCACTTGTCAATACTGACACTTTACACTTCGCTTGTAAAGCGGATGTAAAGTAAATGGGACCAAAAAAGCGATATTTAAATGCGGCCGTAAAAATGCGGCCAAAAAAGTGACAGTTTAGGAATGTTAACAAATTCGTAAAATGTAATTTTTTATGACAGCCTCCTAAAAAATATATTTTCTAAAGCCCTCAATTTTTTTATATATAACAGATGCTATCTAACTCAATAAAATTCTTGATCAACCCAAAAATTATAAAACCTAAACCCAAAGAAACCTATAAACAAAATAAATCAATAAATTTTTAACCTTTCTATAATTATTGTTATTATATTATAACTCATAATTTTTAGAGTCAGAATCAGATTCTACTCCACTTTAACATCTTTAAAAAAGTATTTTCTAAAAAAATTAAACATGCCATTGTAATAATAAAAACAACCAGATACCTATTATAAAGGATACAATGAAATCAAACTTACAAAATGCATGGCTCGCTGAAAAAACTGTGTGGAATAAATGTTATCAAATATTTGAAATACAAGCTCTACTAAACCCATCGCTTTTGCTAAAAGTTTTCTAATTGTAGGTTTATCTCCAAGTATTTGCAAAATAGAAGGATTGTTATCATCGACAGCCATGTAAAGTGCTACTAAATATCCTCCTTGGCCATCTGACTGGATATTATCAGGCATACCTGAACAGAAAAATCTATTATGTAAGGAACTTAGAAATTTTAAAAGAATTTTGTAAAAATTTAATAACACAATATAAGAATAAAAATAAAAAATAAAAACATCGATTTTAATGAAAAATATTATGGTTTCTATACACGATCGGTTATGATGTGCCATTGAGTAATAGGCCATCACCGATCCCATCATTGCGCTGTCATCCACACGATGATTGGTCATTTCGTTGCTATTTATTTGATTTGTGCATACCATGTGCATACACTCATCATATTATTATAAACAATGTTAATACCATTAATTAGGCATTTTCTAATATTCAACAAAATAATGTACTGATAATGGATCACGTGACCAATAAATAGCCGACTGCTGCAATCATGATTTTTATCTGATGAAAATTATTTGAGAACGACTGACATTTGTGATTTTATAATCTTAAATGTCAAACTGTCCTTATTTAATGAAAACAATCAATTCGAAGACTTTTTGATAAGCATAAAAACTAAAGTCAAGTACGGGCAATACAATAATTGAAAAAATATGTACCTGTCCTCATTTGCTTGCTGTATATCTAACGTTAACAATCTTATTTTAAAAGTTAGCCCACTTGTAGATTGGTTTAAAAAACCCAGTGAGTTTCTTCATTTATATTATTAGGAATTTTAAGCAAACTTTTCCTATTTCCTTATCTTTTTAATATTAATTAATCATTTAAGGTTATGTCACGTAATCCATCAGTGCATCAACATAATCGAGTTGATGGATTTGGTGACAACCATCTGAGAATTAGATTGAATTTAATAAATATTATGTTTTCCTACGACCACTTAGGAAAGTGACACATATCACACTATATAGTCCTATGGAAAGTGCCCTATATCACACGCGTATGAATAAGAATTTACTTTCCACCCGAGTGAGAATATGTTACTTTCCGCAGTAGTTGTCACAAAATGTCAAACAGCTAATTTCCATTTTGATCTATGTAATATCCATATTAATACTAAAATCGATATGATTGTTAAATTATTGAAATTGTTGTAAATTAGATCCTAGATATTTATCTTTAACAATTATTATTAAAATAATTTTAAAATAATGTTTGCTCTTTATTCTGGTTGAATACATAATCGATTAGATCATTCAATTGACACAAGGGCTATTAGCTCAGGTGGTTAGGACGTCGAACTTATCAACTTTGCCATTTTTCGACCGCGTTCAATCGATGGTTCAAATCCTGGCGTGGCAGAAATTTTTTTTGTTTTTTTTTTGTTTTTTTTTCTAGTTTTTTTTTTTGTTTAAAAAATATGAAAATTGAATAAATACGATTATTATTATTGATTATTTTTTTAAATACATTTTAATTATTATAGTAATAATAACCTTGGTTTTCCATTTTTTTGATGATATTATTTTGTGGTCGTAGGAAAAATATTGTACATCACTTGTGTGAAAAGTGATTTTCCACACTCGTGTGATAGTCGCACTCGGCTTGCGCCTCGTGCGACAATATTTCCCACTCGTGTGAAAAATGTCACTTTCCACACTCGTAATGTAATATACTATTTATGTATGGAGGGTAGAGGAAAGGAGAACAATCTCTGTATACAAAAAGTGTCCCTCAAAATGTATACAATTAAGATGGCGCTTCTGTGCCCAGGGGACGTCGACAGTCGATAATTCAGATCACACAATGACACCAATGATGTATATAGTAATAAATATTGCTCAACCATAAAAAAACTAAAAACTACACCGTGATAAGTGACTGATCGTAGAAGAGTAAGTGTTCTGTGATCGTAGATAAATTTTGACAATACACGACAATAGTCAAATTTTATTGAAAAATAATAATATAAACAATAAATAATTCTTATATTAAAATGGCACGGTGGTCTCAATTTACTGCTTCCTGTCTGATTTCATTATGAATGAGCAATCTATATGACTATCTAGCATTGGATTTTGTCCCCTGGCTACACGAGCGCCATCTTAATTGTATACATTTTGGTGGCCACTTTTTAATATAAAGATCCATATAAGATTGTCCTCCTTTTCTCTACCCTCCATAGTTTTATGACTCATCTAAAAAATTTTGATGGATAAAAGAACAATTTTGATGAAATCTAGATAGCATCGATGAATATTAGAAAATGCCTATTGTAAATTATTCAAGACTGGTTTCTAGTACCTGTCACTTAAATTAAAATTGAGATCGACGAGCGTGTCAAAACATAAATCAACTACAAGGATTACCTTTGATCCGTGTGTAAAAAACCGACAACTCATCGACGATCATTGCCAATCATGGGCGATCACAGACAAATAGGCATTCCACATGATAATACTCGTCTATGATTGCCCATGATGGCCGATCGTGCGTAGGAGTCAAAGAGATTATTTTGATATATATTTTTAAACTAGACTTATACCTGGTAATCCGTCGATGAATATATCTTTGGTACCATTTTTAGGCCCTTTAAGATAGTATCTATGAATTCTGTTTCTTCCAGTTTCTGCTACCAAAACGACCTCTTCATTATGCGATAAAAATACCCCATTTGCGAATGCTAATTTATTTATTAATACAGTATTTTTTCTTGATTTTGCGTTGTAGTGAATTAATCTAGAACAAAGTATATATAGTTGTCAGTTACTACTTTAGAAACTAAGATTTAGACAAGGTATAACTGCATTTTTGGAGAACGTGCCATGAGCAACAACGAGCATGAACGAGAACAAACAAACATAAATCAAAATAACTCGAGAATAATGTATGTTTGGTAAAGTATTTTTTGGGGTGTTAAAGTATTTTTGCGGTTCTTTCCGAAAATGCTTAACATTTTCAAAATGCTGAAATGGCTCAATATTCTCCTAACGCTTCTTAAGACACTTTAATATTTTTTGTTGCAAATAATACAGTAATAGCTTCTAACATTAAAAAATCTTTATAAGTTGCAAAACATAACATAAGTAACATAATAAGTAAAATGATAAAAAAAGTGAAATGAGAAAATCGGTTGAGATACAAAAAACTGCGATGCGATTTTAGAAATATGAAAATATATAATTCCCTTTTCGAAATTATGAAAAATTGAAAACAAACCAAGAAATTTAGATAGCGGACTGCTAACAAACTGAGGTTAACAAGCTATTTGTGCTTCAATTGCCATAAATATACCACCCTAAGACTAGACTTTTAGGAATAAACTCCATATACATATAATACCCCTATATTATGCTGTCAACAAAATTTAGTGAGCAGAAGGTTTTTAGAATATCTAAGTGACGATAAATGGGTTTAGTACTAATATATAGGCCAGAATTTTGAAACATGAGCTGATATAGTGGTTTGAAATAATATGATTAAGATATTTTGGGTATTTTTAACCAACTTCCGAACTTTCATAAATTGACACGTAGAGTTTAATCATCAAAGATTATAGATTTTCAATTAGTAGAGACAGTAGAATGTCCTATTTCTCTGGATGCTAATGTTGTTTAGTGAGTGTATTATCTTGGAAAAGATCGTCTTATCAAAAGCACCTTCTATGTCTATGAACACACCCAAGGCGGACTCTTTATTGTCCAAATAGATAAAGGGCTGAATTAGTTGATCTGCCTGGGGTGTATGCATGTTGATTTGGGTGTAGTGGTGTTGTTGTAATCCCCAGGTCCCTTATGTACCTTTCGCATAGCCTTTCCAATATCTTCATGGAAAACGAACTGAAGTCAAATTAAAGCTGTATGGTAAAATATTTTTATTATTTCATTAGTTACTCTTGCATTTATTGGTGACTTCGGTTAATGTCGATTATACTGCAAACTTTTAGATTGGGGATTGTCACCGTTTGACTCTCTCAATACCGTCGATACCACTGTGTTTTGGCCTTAAACAAAAACTGGTGACTTGGTCCTATATACACACAAATATTAAAAGATCATGTTCCCGTTTACAAGCAACATTTAAATACATGTGTATGTTCAGTAAATTACATCTTTTATGTTGGCCTAATTGAATATAACTGTTTCAATCTCACTTTAACCAGCCCAAGTAATGAAGCGCTTAGGTCAGTGGTTACCGTAAAAAAATTGAATTAAGTTACAAATTGATTTAATTCGATGATGTTCTAATGATCATTTGTTTCTGCGCTATCTGGCTTCGATTTTATAGGGATGTTTTCTTAAAAAAGAATTCGATTTTTGAGAACACTGCGCAAACAGCTAGTTTAAAATGAAAAAAATCTTATCAAGATGATATTTGTCATTAACAACTCCGTAAGAGTACAATCTAGCATTTAAGACACCTTTAATAAAGTTCAAGCCAGATAGCCCTGGAACAAATGAAAGGAATTAATCAGGATATAGAATTGGACAAACATAACAATTTGTAGCTTTATTCTAATTTTTCATAGGCAGATCTACTCTACTTCTTGGGCTGAACATGAAATTCAAGACATTTTTAGTGTAACCATACCATACCATTCCATTTTTCCATTTTTCCATTTTTCCATTTTTCCATTTTTCCATTTTTCCATTTTTCCATTTTTCCATTTTTCCATTTTTCCATTTTTCCATTTTTCCATTTTTCCATTTTTCCATTTTTCCATTTTTCCATTTTTCCATTTTTTCATTTTTCCATTTTTCCATTTTTCCATTTTTGTAAATGACATTACTGAAAACCTATCATGTAATACTCTACTCTATGCCGATGATTTAAAATTGTTTAAATCAATCTCTAGTATTGATGACTGTTTGATTATGCAGGAGATCCTAAATAAATTGAACCTTTGGTGTAATTCTAACAACTTACCACTAAACATATCTAAGTGCAATTCTATCAGCTTCACTCGCAAACTAAATCCGATTGAGTATAATTTCACTGTCAACAATATTACCATCAATAAATGTCTTTCTTTTAGAAATCTTGGTATTCTTTTCGACGCTAAGTTAAACTTTATTGAACATGTCAATACTATTCAAAAAGAAGCATACAGAAATTTGGGTTTTGTCATTCGAAATGGACGCCAGTTCTCTGAGCCTAACACTTTAAAAACTATTTTTAACGCTTTTGTACGTAGTAAGCTAGAATATGCGTCCATTGTTTGGGGTCCTGGATATGAAGTACATAGCCAGGCATTAGAAAAAATTCAGCGAAAATTTGTCAAATATTTGTGGTGGAAGCTAGATGGCGTCTACCCTAGTCGCAATATTCCGCAAACCATCTTGCTGAATAGATTTGATATCCTTGAATTACGTACTCGCAGGAAATGTTATTCCATCTGCATTCTTTACAAATTATTAAATTTTAAAATTGACTGTCCCGAACTACTTCGTCAACTAATGTTTAATGTTCCTAGTATCAGAACTCGCTCCCCTTTGTATTTCTATTTTCAGACACCCAGGACAAATATTTTCAAATTTTCTCCAATGTATTTTATGTATCAAAATTTTTGTGAACTTCAAAATGATGTTGATTTATTTTCTATTTCAATTAAAGAAATAAAACGCTTAATTGTGGACTGAGTTAATTATCATAAGATAACGTAATTTTTTCTCCTAACGGAGTTTTTTTTGCGTTTTCTTATGATGGTTAAAAACGTTTATTAAACTATTTTTTGTTAACATATATTTATGCTATTATTAGTATTTAATATATTGTTATTTTTATGATGTAAATTATACTGTAATTGTAATTATTTTTGCGCCCATCCTGTAATTGGTTTTATACTGTTGGATGGTGTAACCCAAATAAATAAATAAATAAATAAATAAATAAATAAATAAATAAATAAATATTCTTAACTTTATTTGAAATTATTGATATTTTTCTATTTTATAAATACATATAATATGGAACATTCTTAATATATTAAACGATAATTGCTTAAAAATTGAGAAAAATACATTAATTTCCTTGTGCTCTTTTTGTCATGAACAAGTAACGATGATTCATCAAGTAAACCTTTCTCAGATTTAGCATTCAAACTATACAATGTTTTTCCCATCCAGAAAGGTTTTTCTTGTCTTGAAAATAATCTTAGATTAACTATAAATTAGTCTCTATATTTTTATTTATTTGGTTAAAAGTTGCAATTACGTGATTTTATTGAGATCAAGGCAAATTCTGTAAAAACAAATCGTTACAAAGAGAAATTTTTAAAACGTTTAATTATATTGGGTCGGCTCATTTAAATTAAATGCTAGAATTTCTCTCTCGTTGTTCGGAGTTTTCGGAGTTAAGTAATCCGATTCAGACTTCTGTTAACAGGCAATTAGGATCATTTCTCTATTCGCAGCCATAACAGGAACTATAGTTACAACATCGTCATTTCATGATGTGTAATCATGGATTTGTAGATTAGTCTCTAAATGCATTCGAGTCTAAAGCAATTACGGTTATCAGTAATTACGATGCTTCAGTGTAGAACGGGGAATACACAGGTGTAGATGCTTCTATTCAAGGTGGGTTGGGAACTAATTAAAGGGAAAGGAAACTATAAACAATTTATAAAAACTTTAATTCAAAAGTGTATGTAAATACAACTGTTAAATGATGCATTCATTAATTGCAAGGGATGACTAATAATTTATTACTTATAATGACAGTAATTAATCACAAAACAGACTGAATACCTACATAAACCAATTAATAAATGAATATTTGTGTTGAACTCATTCATCATGAAGTTGTTATCAATCAATAATTATTTCCTTTGGGGTGTTTTGTCAAAATTAAGCACTACATTCAGTCTATTCTATCACACACAATATGTGAACACACTTTGATTGTCATGGAATTTTTATTTACTTCGAGACTCCCTTTACAAATTGAGGACCACAGTACACTCTGATAGATGAACAAATAAAAAACTGAAAAACTATAGCGGACTCTCCGACAATGGGTCGAAGTAAAAAAATTTGATAAATATCTGTTAATATGTCCTTTTCTGCTTGGTTAAATTATCCAGTTGTAATAACACGTCTCTCGTTTAAAACATAATTTACAGCCAAAAACTAAGATTAAAATTTTAGAACGCGATAAATTTTGACAGATGTTTAGAGTGTGAGTAATATGAAGTTCATATCGGTTAGTTAGATTACAATCTCAAGATCATCCTTGCAACCGGCTTATAGAGTGTTAAGGTTGAAAATGTGGAATAAGTTGAATAAGTTGGGATAAGTTGGAAGGTCACGCCACATCGAAAGGTAACCGTCTTGCTGATTCACTAGCCAAGAAAGCAGCCAACCAAATTATTTTTGGACCTGGTCCTTCTATTGGCCTGACAAAATCGGTAGTGACAGATCTAATTAAAGAACATTCCCTTGTGAAATTCAAGGAAAGATGGGATGAAACAAGAAACTGCAGAGTTGCCAGGGAGCTCCTAAGTTATTCTGACAACACTGCAGCAAACAAATACTTAACTATGACTAGACAGAATCTGCGCCTAGTCACAGGCATTATGACTGGTCATTGCCAAGTACGGAAGCATCTCCATATCATGGGGCTGTCAGAATCCGCACTTTGCAGATGGTGCGAACAAGAAGATGAGACTATCGAGCATATCCTTTGCAATTGCTAGACGCTCTCATTTATTAGAAGATTTGTGTTCGGCGAGTATCGGC